CAAGAAGGACATTGAGGTGCTCGAGCGTGTGTAGAGAAGGGCAATGAAGCTGGTGAGGTATCTGGAGAACAAGTCTCATGCGGAGCAGGTGAAGGAACTAGGGTTGTTCAGTCTGGAGAAGAGAAGGCTGAGGGGAGACCTTATCACTCTCTACAACTACCGGAAAAGGGGATTGTGGTGAGGTGGGTGTTGGTCTCTTCTCTCAAGTAGCTAGTGATAGAACAAGAGGAAATATCCTCAAGTTGCGCCAGGAGAGGTTTAGATTGGATATTAGGAAAAAATTCTTTACAGAGAGAGTGGTCAAGCATTGGAACAGGCTGCCCAGGGACATGGTGGAGTCAACCATCACTGGATGTATTCAAAAAACATATAGACGTGGCATTCGGGACATGGTGTAGTGGGCATGGTGTGCTGGGTTGATGGTTGGACTTGATGATCTTAAAGGTCTTTTCCAACCTTAATGATTCTGTGAAATTTCAGCCATAATGATATGCTACAGAGAGAGGAATATCTTGTGTTTCAAAGTTATCCACCTACATGAGGCAATTAGACGCTGGAGTCCCAGAGGATGAAGTGCATATTGTATGTAAAATTGTGTTTAACTGGGATTAGCCAAAAATCCTAGCAAATTTAAAAACTGATCAAGTAAGATGTGTCTATGCTTCAACACCAGGCAAGCATAAGGACAGGTCTGCTCGCCAGCTATCCAACTCATTTACATGTATGCCTGATACAGTGCAACAGATGAGAAGAGCTCAGTGATCAACAACAGAGGACAGAACCTCATGAAATCCTAGTCTAACCAGGCTAAAAAGTCAGAACAAGCCTGCTGATTTTTAATGAGGGTAACTGCAGGGCTTTCAGTAAGTTCCCATTGCTAAGAGGCAGGCTGGAAGGACATACAGGCATTTAACATGACAGGGGAATAGAAGAGGGTTTTGCAATACTGGTGTGACTAACAGGCCACATCAAAATTCAAATGATTCAGTACTGAAGGAGGATGTGAGCTACAAATGCCTCAAGCTGGACACCCCTAAAGGCATCAGAGGTCAAAGAAACTAATGGATAAAGATCTAACCAAGTGAATAGCACTTCGCCTCAGCAATGCCACTCATTGCAAGCACTCCTCAGAGTCCAGCAAAGATTGAACTGATAGGAAAAAGACTCACAGTTACTCTTCCTGTAACACATATTTATCTATAGCTTAACAGAGAAAAGGCAGGCGTGACAAAGAACATCAAACTAGGCACGTAATGATAAGCAAGGAGCCAGTGACTGGAGGCCTCTGGGCACAAGTTCACAGTTCTTGCTATCACAAAAATCAGAGGCAAAGTATCATCTTCAGTAAATTACAGGTCATAGGAAGTAGACCAGAGAGGAACTTAAACAATCATAAAGTAGGTGCAAACAGCCAGAGGAAAAGTGCCAGGAATCAGAGACAGCCTTAGCAATCTTCTCACCTGTGGCAGAAAACTTAAAAAATATGATAGGACAAAGGAATAAGGATATGACAAGACAAAGGACTACAGAGTCTAATTAAGACCTCTATACCAACAGCAGCAACACAAAGAAGGAATTTCTGGGAAACCAGAAAGACCACTAGCTGGTGGGCTGCAATAATCTGGCAGGAAAAGCCTTGGCCCTATGGGCAGGCATGTAGTATGTAACAGCTGGTCTTAACTAGTCATTAGCACAAAGGACAAAAGAGCATAAACTGCTATAAAGAAAGATCGAGAAGCTGCACAGAACATGGAGAAAAAAATCCAGTTTTGGAGAAAGCACCACAGAAGCCATTCTGCATGCCAAAATGCTAGTGACCATTGTGGCAAGTCTTCCAAGGAAGCAAGCAAAAAAAAAAAAAAAAAGCCCAACTTGTTTCAGAAATACTGAAACAAAAGCCCATCTGGACTCTGGCCACATTAACACTAAATATGGATACTGGAGGACCAAGATTACAACTTGGCAATTACTAAAAACTAGGTCTTTCATGAGGTTAAAAAGAAAACTAGGTTCATAAAAAATTAATACTAGTTTCTAATATTCCAGTTTGCGTACAGAGTTCCATCTTTCATACCAAATATTTAATCACGTTAGTATTTCTAATGTTAAGATTTTTCCCTGGACAATTCAAGGGGTTGAGTCAGAGTTTGCTGTCCCAAGTATGGCCAAGCAGACTGTTCGTATCTCACTCCTGACTGGATTAATTCTTACCATTGAACCGTTCAAAATTAAAACCTGTTTTTAACAATGCATTAAGATTTTCCTTGTTGGTGAACATGCCTGAAAATCCAGTGTAAGGACTGTGGCAAATAAACCAAACCAAGAGTTAAAAGTATAAGCAGTACTTAAGTTAGTTTTAAATATTTTTAATACATATCTGCGGACACTGCTTTAAATTCTAGGCTGCTAAAACAGTCATTCAAGACAATTAATCACTGTAAGTAATAATGATGAACTCTTAGAGAAATTCTAACAGAACTTTTGCAGGGTTCACTTACAGAACTTATTCTTCTAAGAATTACAAAACAAGATCTAGCTGACATTAATAAATAAATAACATGAAAGGAGAAGCTTCACTTTAAGCTCAAAGAACAGCTGCAGCATTTTTCCTCATATGTCTTTCCCTGCAGCTCTGCTCTCTAAGCCACACTGCCTCAGTGAGCAACTAACAACAGAAATTATAAACTGTTAATATTCAGCCTAAAACCAAAGACATATTAAACTTTTAAAAACCTCATTCAAGATTTTAGAGAAATTTATTTGAAAATACTTCTACTTCAGTAGAACATTCTTTGGGTGAAAAAAAGAGGAAAAAATAGCCTTAAGTGAAACAATGCTATTTAATGTTTATCTGCTGAGGGGGACATTGCATCAGGGAGTCTTTAGCTGCTCTTCATCTGGTAGTTCTTTTCTCCTCCCTTTACTGTCCACCTAGGCATTAAGTCCTCCATTCTACATATCACAGCTGCAATTGTAAATTAAGCATTGATTTACTATTCTACATAAGTATGTACTAAAATATTTTTACAAGGGACAAAGTTGTGGATTATTTAGTGAGGTTCCACTCTTATCCAAAGACTACACTAAGAGTGAGAGCAGTGGAGATATTTTATCATAGGAATGTTATGCTAATACCTATTACACCTTTTGAAGTCAGGCTTACTTTTCCCTAAAGCATAAAAATAATAACTGAAAGAAAGATAAGTTTGGAAAAGGATATCATACAATGAAGGTGATGCAGAAAAGTGCTTTGAAAAAAAAATCTAAGCTCTGCTGACTATCAGGACCACATGTTTGTGGTTAGGAAGGTGATTAAGTGCTTTGCTAAATATAGCCTTAAAATATGCCTTCAGAATCTATTAATAATTATGAAAGGTTGATTGTTTATGATGTCTATTACTCTCTAATCTTAGTGGAAATGCATAGTGCTTGCTATATTGTATATTATTATAATCACAATACTTCGCATACTGTATATTATTGTAATCACAATAGAAATGCCTAAAACTAACCTAGGTTCCTTTCTCCTTCTCTCAAGGACATTAGTTTAAAATCTGTCCTTTGTTTTATGACATGCAGAATTACAGTTTTGTGTTAAACAATGAAAACTTTCAATTTTTGAGAAACCACTTTATAAAGGATAATATTGGTCTTCAGAAAGTGTGAGGCAGGATATACATAATTCGGGCATACAACAAAGTTAATAGATACAAAGACCTGGTTATAAATACACATCTCTGCTCTATCCTGACACTTATCAATACAAATAGAGATAGGAAGCCTGAACAAAATTCTGCATCAGCTAGGCAATAAACATGTTATTTTTATTAAACCAAAATAGGTAATTGCCCATTCCAATGCCACATTGTTGAAAAATAAAAGCTGTATAAAATACTACTGTGATATACTACACATACTGGAAGGACCATCATTCAAATAAGGACAGACATTAGAAAATACATTTTCCAAAATTCACACAGAAGTGTGAACTGAATTGGAATTTATGTGAACACACAAATAAACTAAACTGGATTATTCCACATTAATGAATCTAAATAAAAGTATAAATTTTGTTATACTTGTAAGGAAGTGTGTAATTTGTTAGAAAAAACTAAAAGGAGCCTGAGAAACTGTATTATTTTATTTATATACTTAAAATCATTGAACACAGTCATGACACAGAATTTGTACAGTTGGCAGTAATTAGAAAAAACATTTGGCAATACAACGAATTCACTAGAGCTCTATTTATAAAGAAATATTTTTCACTTAAATCACACAGCTAAATAACTAACATAGAGAAGAGTTCTTTGCACAATATCATAGAATCATAGAATATTTGGGGTTGTGAGAGACCTTAAAGATCATCTAGTTCCAACCTCCATATAATTAATTCCTTATTTAAAAATTCAGATATGGGATTACAATGCCATGTAATATAACGATCCCTTTTTACACTGCAGCAAGTTTTATGAACTGAAGTAATTTTTACTTTCAAATTTTGGCGCACTACCCAAAATAAAGAAATAAATGCTGCACTTTTTTTCAAATGCTTTAAAATTATTCTTTAAAAAAATTTTTTCAAATTTTACGTTTTTTCCACTCTGGCTTGTCTGTTTCATCATCTTCTGGTTCCACTTCTGCAAAAACTGTTTTTGGCTGTGTTCTAGAAAAGATTAAAAAGATTAAAATAATGGTCATACTACAATTCTTTATCAGAAACTACATTAGACATACACTAGACACAAATTATGTTCTTTCTATACTTGAAAAAGAGCATCCTAGACTTGCCCGTTTTTCATTTTCAGCATAAACCTATCAACTAACCTTCTAAGACCTGAAGAAACTTGCAGCTCTCAAGGCAAAGAACAAGCATAACACACACATCTTTTGCAAGTATTATTTCCTCATCAGCTCATAATCATTATCTGCGTATTCCATGAACAAAATTAACATAGGAGAGAGGAACAAATCAATTTAACACAATGCTAGAAAAATGGAGCCACAGGTCTTCTCATTCCATGATTTTAAAAAAAGAACTCTCCATTTTGATACACTGTAGTATGACAGCAGCCAGCAAGTGAAAACAGAACAGCTAAGCCAGGTTTCTGGCTTAGCCTATGGATGAAAAAAAATAGCTTTTCCTCCAGAGACTTTATCCAGCACTACCGTAATATAAAAAGCCTCATGATCTTCATATGAGAACACAATGTATCCTACAGTCAAGCTTGATGGTATCTCTTCTACCACTGTTTACTTGTATTTTAAATAACACTTAAACTTTATAAAAATAATTATTGATTACTTTTTAAACGAACACAGTATCAAGGAGCTTTTCAATAAACTGTTTGGACATTCAGTTCCCCTGTTTTACACTTTAACCACTGCATGGTCCCCCTTTCCAACCTAATTCTCAGCACAATCACTGCAGAGCTGAAACCACTAGATTTCTGATGCTGGCTGTGTTCGACTTCTCATTACAACAGACACAACAAAGTATAAAACGCAGCCAAGGCAGTCATCTCATTAATGTATTAACTAATGTTTTTACAGCAGTCTGAGGATATGAAGCACTATTATTATAACAACTGTTATTTGGCGGACTCTACAAAATGCATAAACCTTAAGAAAATTGTGTCTGCCTTAACACAATGGGCATAATTCAAAGTTGCCACTGACTTCAAAGAGTAATAGCAGGCCACCAGCTATTAAAGAGCAGGATTCTCCACTTGCTAAATATGTGGCACAAAATAAAGTCACCAGAACTATCAAAGACTTCTGTCATACAGAGGATCATTCTATTGGCCTGCCTTCTCCTCCATCCTCCAAACTTGGCATGGAGGTAAGGAGTATACTAAGAAGTTCCAGAGATGGTCCTACTACAGGACTCTACTGGCACATCGTCCCTGGGTGCAGACTTTACATCTCATTACACCTAAGCAGACCTTGTACCCAGATGAGGACCTACACTACTGGAAGTTAGAGAAATCATTCTGCTTTCCATGGAAAGCAAAACTAAGATTAAAAAAAAAAAATTTACAGTCTAAAAATGCCATTAGAAAATAGTTACATAAACTCTACTTAACCAATCACGGGAAAAAAAAAAAAAAAAATCAATATTCAATCCAAAACAGACACCAGAGGTGAAGGCTTTATTGGCCGAAATACTGGATTTTATAACAGAATCATAGAATCATTTACAGGTTGAAAAAGACCAACC